AGTGGAAAGAAAGGAGTTGATTGTTGGGTGTCATATGAGGATCTGGAGGGTTGAAAGTGTTCCTTGGAACCTGTCTATGCTGAAAGGAACGGCTGGAAGAACGGTTCCTTCCTCCTCCAGTCCTTCCAAAAACCTTAGGGTTGAAAACTTTCTTCAGGGATAACTGAGCCTTATTAAGGGAACTAAACAGATTGACATATTTATTAATGTCTTTAATAAAGGATTCTCGGAATAGGAGACCTTCCGCAGCTGGACCGGGTTCGGAAGTAGCCAGATTTGACAGTTGAGGGTCAAGTTTCATTAAAATAGACCTGCGGCGTTCGCTGGTCAGCGCTGCATTAGCATTCCCCAAAAGACATATAATGCGTTGGCTCCAGCCTCTCAAAGCATCAATGCTGGGAGGATTCCCAGAAGCTGCCGCATATTCCAAAATTTCAAACATTTTAGTCACAGGACCAGAAATGTCCATTAATTTATCTTGACAAGATTTCAGTGACCTGTCAAGGCCTTTATTAGGGTTCTTCCCTGATTTTGATAAAAATTGTACAATAGTAGGATCTAGATCAGGGGTCTGTGCGACTTTCTTTGATAAGGTCGGTCTCGGGCATTCAGCCCTTAGTTTATTTCTAGTCGCTTGGTCCAGGGGTTTCCTTAACCAGTTTTCAAGATATTTGGCTACATGAGCCATAGGGACCCATTCGGCTGACCTGGGGTGTTTAATATGGTCTGGGTCAAATAATGGTTTACCATAAAAATCCAAAATAATGTTTTCATTGTCAGATTTAGAAATAAGCTCAGGTGTCTCTGAGATATATGAACAAATTGAGGCAGAATCAGAGTCAGATTTTTCATCCTCTGAGATTGCAGATGATTCACTATCTGAGGAGGTTTTATAGGAATCAGGTTTGTTCCTGTGAATGGCCTTCCGAGCCCGTTTAACTTCCTCACGAGCAGAGGGTCTTTTGAGTGATTAATTACACTCTTCAGTTTTGCGTGAAGCACGCATTGTATTCTTGTCTTGGTCCTTCCCTCTCTTAACTTGCTTAGAGCCATTAGGGGATTCTGCAGGACCGTCAAAGCAATGTCTGCGTTTCTGGGTGGCCTTCCCAGACCTCCTAAAACCTTGAGCTAGGTTTCGTTCAGACTCCACAGATGACCAGAATTGGTCTGAAGGAGTATTAATTAAATGAGTCTTCTCACTGGGTTTCGAGTTATTTATGGCTTGAGCCACAGACTTTGCAATTGCCTCTTGCATAGAGGACATTGCAGTATAAATAGCAGAGGAAACTGACTTTTGAACGGATAAATCCACAATATTATGTAAAGAATCCTCAGTGAGGATTTCACAGTCATGAGAAACACCAGGTTTTGGTGATTCAATCTGTCTGATCTCCTTAGAGTTCATAATTTCAAAATTGCAACAAAAAGTAATTGTATCTACTATTCGTAGAATAGTTAAATAGTAAATAAATGTTGCCAGTTATGAGGGGAAATTCTGACAGGAATTCAAATAGTTCAAATTATAATAATTACCATTAGAGAGTAACAAGTTGTGAGGAAAGCGCTGTACTGAGGTAAAGTGGGCGGGAAAGTTAGCTGAGGACCAACTAACTGGTATTCCCGCCCATAAACATCATCAATGTATAAGGGACTAACTGACAGAAAACGCGCGTGCAACGGTTCGTGTAGAAACTGCTGAAATGACTGAACAGTTTAAAGACAAAAAACTATAAGAAACATAGAATTACTTCAGAAAAGCATATATTCCAGTGAATAAATACATATGTCAAACATATAATCAAACTAGAAGGTATGTTTAGAAAACAGTAGCATAAGTGAATATATATGATACGTATCTCTACTGGAGCAGCAAAGAAAGAGGGAGAATATTGGGGATCATTCACTATATGGACTATACTGGATGCTGATTGGCTACCAACGTTCCATTTCAGTTACTCTGTTGTTTTACCTTTATTATTCACTAAACTTTATTGAAAAAATGTCTTTGCTGCTGGAGTTAAGTAAAGAAAGTTAATGCATAATACGAGCCTCCTGTCTTGTTATAAAATAAAAAATTTTACTCTGAAAGGACCAATATTTTATATTGGAAAAAGCAATGTATATATATATATATCAATCATCTAGGGTGGCAAGACATAGCCTTACATATTACATGCGACAATATATGGCGCAATGACTTATGGGGCTGGCGTAGATTTTTTTTTTTCCAGGGCTGCTTTGGAACCCCAGTCCGGCCCTGTCCAGTGGCCATTCCTCAGTCGGCCACTAGAGGTGCTTCCTGGGGCAGTTGTGCAGCACTGACGTTCAACGTCTCCATGCAGACCCAGGTAAGAGGCAAACCTGTCCCTGCAGGCTTTTGAATGTAAACACTGCCTTTGTATTTACATTACTATTTAGTAACTTAGGTCTTAGAACTATTGTGTCAGGAATATAGGTTTGTGTTCCAGACACTGTGCTTCCTCTTTAATTTGTATTTGTCATGACAGGTACTCTTTAACAACTTACATGTAATTTGCCTGGTGACAGTCACTTCCTCTATTGAGACCTGGAAGCACTCGCTAGCAGGTGGCTATGCAGAGCTTAGCTCATTGACTTAGAGCTGACCCCGTATGGTAAGGCATAGCTCAGGACAGCAAACAGAAGCTCCATGCAAGAGCTTTGTGCTCACAATGGAGGAGGTGACCAGCTCGTTTGGACCCCAGGTAAGTTGTCATAGTGTTAGTGAACGGCTTGACTGCTTACATTGTGATATGCGCTAAGGCTCTCCTGGCACCATAATCTCTACAGTATAGTGTAATAATGCATCAAGTCTTCCATTATGAATGTTGCTTAGCTTATAGTCATATTTTTATCCTTGTATGTATTTAGCATTGCAACAATGAGCATTTTCATTATTACAGCGCCATTTTTGGAGTTTGCTCCTATCCGTGCCTATGTAGCACCATGTTCTGCAGTGTTAACAGTAGAACAGTGTTACATATAAGCTGGCATACAATCAGACATTACATCAAAGTGAGAGCAATGAGGTGGCTGTTTGTGAAAGCTTACAGTCTAAAGTGTCACTTTAAAGAGCCATCTGGATACCAGCTGTCTTGACTTAAAGTTATAAACACATTTTCAGCTAATTGCTCAGTGGATTTGAAAGTCTTGTTCTGCTGAATTCGAAATTGCATTAAATATTGTTATTTAGTTAGAGCCACCTCTTATTCGTATATGTGGGTGCATTATAAATGTATTCAGACTTCGACTCTAATAGACTCCAGAATTAGGTAACCTAGAGATTTAGGTACATAAATCTGTTCCTGGTTTCTGTATACATTTAAAAATCTTAAAAAATATTTTAATATTTTTCTTTTTTTCTTTATTGTTTTTGCTTTAATTTGGATGACAGTAAAACATGACATAGTTGAGTGAGGCAAATCACATTTGGTAATGCTCTGTTGTTAATTTTTGGTTATAATGAATTAAAGGGACACTATAGCGTTAGGAATACAGATGTGTATTTCAAATGCTATAGTGCCCTGGTGGTTGTGTAGGTGTACTTTTACTTACCTCTTCCTTACAGTACCGTTCTTTGCGGCTGGTTTGGTAATTTTCACCTGATTTTGTCCATTCAGACAATATCCAGCGTTTGTAAATAACCCTCTTTGCTTTTCTCACTGAAATCCAACTCTGTATAAAATCATACACTACATTACATGTACTTAGTGCCCTTTGTGACTGATGTTGACACTTTCCTCTGCTGCTCTGATTTCTGCATTTTGCTTTGTAGCCTTATGGACTTTTAGAGTTGTCCCTGGCCTTTCATTCCCTTCAGCACATATATTATAATTTCGTCTGTTAAATTAATCACTTAATTTGATTAAAGTATATTCTAGTGCAGGGCTCGACAAATTTGGGATTTCAAGCCCTTTAGCTAAAGTGGCAGGATGGGGGAACAATGGAGCCTGCTGGTCACCCTCAGGAGCGTGGAGGCGGCCAGCTCAGGGAGGAGAGAGGCGCAAGGGAGCAGTAATCTTCCTGCAGCTCCTCTCTGCTTCCTCGCACTCTATAGTGATGCTGGGAGCCAGAATATGACATTATTCCAGCCCTGGCATCACTACAGGGAGCAGAGAGGAGCCACAGGTAGATTACTGCTCCCTCACTCGCAGGATGAGCGAGCAGCCCCACTGGACCTCAGGAAAAGATCCACTCAGCTCTCCCAAAGGTAGGGAGGCTGGGTGGATTAAAATGGAAAATGTCAATTTGTGTGTGTCTCTGTCAGTGTGTGTATGTGTGTGTCTGTCTGTCTGTCTCTCTATCAGTGTGTGTGTCTCTGTCAGTGTGTGTGTGTCTCCCTGTCCGTGTATCTGTCATTGTGTGTGTGTGTGTCTGTCAGTGTGTGTGTTTGTCTGTCAGTGTGTATGTGTGTGTGTGTGTGTGTCTCTCTGTTATTGTCTGTGTGTCTATCCGTGTCCTTGTGTGTGGGTCTGTCAGTGTGTCAGAGTGTATGTGTGTGTCTGTGTCAGAGAGTGTGTCTTTCTGTGTCTGTTTAGGTACCTGCACCCCCCTGATCATGAGAGAGGTGTTTTTACTCATTTTCTTTCCCACACTGTGTCCGGTCTTCATGGCTGAGAAAATCAATCTTTAAAAGACCACTATAGGCACCCAGACCACTTCAGCTCAATGAAGTGGTCTGGGTGCCAGGTCCATCTAGTGTTAACCTTGCAGTTGTAAACATAGCAGTTTCAGAGAAACTGCTATGTTTACAATAGGGATAAGCTAGCCTCTGGTGGCTGTCTCACTGACAGTGGCTAGAGGCGCTTCGGCGCTTCTCACTGTGAAAATCACGTCCATAGGAAAGCATTAAGGAATGCTTTCCTATGGACTGTGCTCTTGCTCTTGCCCTTGCGCTGGAGAAAGGTAAGGGTTTAACCCCTTCAGCTCCCTTCAGCCCGGCGAGAGGGAGGCCATAAGGGTGGGGGGGACCTAAAGACCCTATAGTGCCAGGAAAACAAGTTTGTTTTCCTGGCACTATAATTGTCCTTAAAGGACCACTATAGTGCCAGGAAAACATACTCGTTTTCCTGGCACTATAGTGCCCTGAGGGTGCCCCCACCCGGATCACAGCTAAACCAATGCTTTCCTATAGAAAAGCATTGGGAGGATATTGTACATGTTCTCTATGGTTAACATTCAGCACCTCAATGCAGAGCGTGGAGATGCTGAACAAAGCTGCTGTACACTGTGCAGCACTGACACAGGACTCTCTAGTGACTGTCACTAGAGGTGTTACTAGGCAGCAGTGTAATTGAAAAGGGACAGGCTATAGAGACCAAAATAACTACATTAAGCTGTAGTGGTTCTGGTGACTATAGTGTCCCTTTAATCTGGTGACTTAGTGTCCCTTTAAGAATTGTATATTTTTCGTAAATTAAACTTTGCTCGTTTACAAAAACAACAACTGTCTCCTAACTTTTTTAGCTGGCTCCTAGATTCCAAACAAATTTGTCAAGCCATGTTTAAGTGTATGTTCTGGCTACGCTATAGCTTTGTATGCATTTATAAAGGCATTATATGACTCTTAAAGGGGGCACAACAATAATTCCACTACATGCCCTTCACATCTTCTCCAATTGAAAGTATCCTTTTAACAGTTTCTAAAAGGGTATTGACATATTCATGCATATTGTGGAATATTTTTCTGAATAAAATGTATAATAAACAAACTACTACAGACTACTTTAAGTTGAATGTTTGGACAGTTTATGTTTCTCACCCATATTCCTTTTTCTGTACGTTATTTGTCTTGTGGATTAATAGATCATCTTCTGCTAGCAGACTTATAATTACTTCTGCTTTTCTGTTTTCCTGTTTCCATTCTCCAATTATCAGCAGGTCTGTATTTGTGTAACTCACAAATTATCTTCTGAAAGTAGCATGTTCACCTCAAATTTCCTAATCTTATTGTGACGAAAGTAACCTCGTCACTGGTTCTTGGAGGGGCCTGCTGGACAGCCTCTTGCCTCAGGACTATGGGCCATGCAATATACCTTTCCCAATGCACTTTCAAGGCTTTGTTCATGTGAAGTATGTACTTTTGTACTCCAGACAGAGAGACCGACCGTTAGCACTAATTCTCTGGAACTGTTTTGGGCATGAGACCATGCGCTCGGTCGGTCAAGAAATCCTTGTACCCCTGAACTGATCTGGTTCTGATCTGATTTTTGGATATGTTGTTCACCCAGATCAGGGCTATCAGGGGATGTAACGTTTATGGGGATATGTTGTGTTTAGGGGTACTTTTGAGGTTTTGTAAAATATGTGTTTTTTCTGCCTGGAGATAATTGGGTTAATACAGTATCTGACTCAATTATCTCACAGGCAGAGGTTTGTGGGGTTTACGGTGGTTATGGTGTTCCAGTGCAGTGCTTATGGTACTCGCAAGTACTAAGAAGCAGTGATTGACAGAGGTACCTGGTTGGGGTGCAAGGCGGTCTGTCACACTTATAAATTGCATTATTTAATTTTGTCTCTGTGAATTTCACATCTGTCAAGTTTGTCATCTTCCATTTTCTTCCAACAGTCTTAAAGAACCACTAAAGGCCAGGTAATCTCAGTGATGTTTAGTTTTAACCCTGCATTGTAAAACATTGCAGTGTTGTAGTTTTGTCTACTTGACAGCCTCTAGAAGTGCTTCCAAGTCAGAGCAGAGATTTGTTGCGCATGCATACTAGCCTCCAAATCCTTCCCTCTGGGATTGAAAATCTCAGCCATGGAGGCGTGGCAGCCACAGAGAGAGCACCAAGGCAATGAAACAAAGTTAAGTAAAGGGTAGGGGAAAATGAACAGCTAGCAGGCCACTATAGCATTAAAAATACATGTTTGTCAGAGGAACGTACCACCACATCTGGTGGAGTTGCCCCCTAGTGGCCACATTTTGGAAGGAGGTGGAGAGGCTGGCCTCCCAGATCCTACAAAAACATGTTAGTCTTCACCCATGGGTGTCCCTGTTATCTAGACCAATAGACGGCTGGGCGGGACAAGAGATGGTTCTATTACGCAACATTACATTAGTGGCCTGTAGAGCCATAATGCAGACTTGGCTGCAGCCCACGACCCCAACCATGGCCACGGTACTCAATAAACTTAAGGATAACTATCTCATGGAAAAACTAACAGCTCATGTTAGGGGGACAATAAATAAGTTTACTCGAATCTGGGAGCCATGGGAAGCTTACTCAGGGACGCTGGGAGGGACTTAGGGAACTCAACGCTCCACCTGGACTCCGCCTCGGGCGACCGGGGGTACCATCTGGCTGCCTTCTACCCTCCCGCCCTGCTGACCTGCTTGAGGTTAAATTGGGGGAGGGAGTGGGCAGTGTATTAATTTTAGGGAGGGGCACTTTATTAATTTGGGGGAGGGAAGGGTCAATGTATTAAACTGGGGAAGGGAGCAGTGTATTCAGTGTATGGGGAGTGAGAGAGACGGTGTATTAAATTGGGGGAGGGATTGGGGCAGTGTATTAGAGTGGTGGGAGTTGGAGGCAGTGTATTAGAGTGGTGGGAGAGGGGGCAATGTGTTAAATTGGGGGGAAGGCAATGTATTCATTTGGGGGAGGAGGGGCAGTGTATTAGTGTGGTGGGAGGAGTTAGTGTGTTAAATTGGGGGAAGGACAGTGTATTAAATTGGGGGAGGGAGAGCAGTGTATTAAATCAGAGTGTTTGGAGAAGGGGCAGTGTATTTAATTAGAGTCGAGGGAAGAGGGGCAGTGTTAGATTAAAAGGCAGTTTATTAGGATGTCTGGAGGGGCAGTGTATTAGAGTGGAGGGAGGAGGGCAGTGTATTGGATTTCGAGGCAATATATTGGATTTGTGGGCATTGTATTAGAATGGGAAGAGGGGCAGTGTATTAGATTGGGTCTGCATGAAGGCGCTGAATGCTCCAGTGTGTGTGTGTGTGTTTGTATAGTGTGTGTGTATAATGAATGCTGTGTGTGTTTGTATAGTGTGTGTGTATAATGAATGTCGTGTGTGTGTTTGTATAGTGTGTGTGTATAATGAATGCTGTGTGTGTGTGTTTGTATAGTATGTGTGTATAATGAATGCAGTGTGTGTGTGTTTGTGAGGGATGTAATTTGTGTAAAATGGGCAGGAGGGCAGGGATTTTTTATTTTAATTGTATTTTTAATATTTATATGTTTTTTTTTTATCTGCAGTGTTTTTTTTTAAATTTTAATATTTATATGTTTTTATTTTTGTCCCCCCTCCCTGCTTGTTACTTGGCCAGGTAGGGGGGATATGACAGTCCCTGGTGGTCTAGTGGCTTGTACTGAGCAGTGGGGGGGCCGGCAGCAAGCAGTTACTCCCCTCCCAGCAGCTCCCCAGTCTAACTCTCGCGGTCTGCGTGCTGCGCGGAGCATTGCCATGGTAAGCCGTGGCAACGCTCTGCGGCCGTGGGAGTCACGAGATTTAGACAGGGGAGCTGAAGGGAGCTGCTGGGAGGTAAGTAACTGCTTGCTGCCGGCCCTCCCAGGACCGCCGGGCTTGTAATGAGCCCGGCGGTCCTGGTATGTATTATCGGCAATATCGGTATCGATATTTGCCGATACCGATATTGCCGAAAATACCTAATATTGCCGATAATATCATATATATAATCGGTCGATCCCTAAACTCAACATTAGCATCAGGTATAACCACACAATGTCAGTTAAAACTGCAGAAAATTGGGATAAGCCATTCATTCTGCTCATCCATACATAATTGCTGCGACTCCAGCAACCCTATATGTACAGTCACTTGCATCAAATGTGATAAAGATAAGTAATTATATACAGGTGATGCCCAAAAAATTTGAATATCGTGCAAAAGTTAATTAATTTGAGTAATGCAACGCAAAAGGGGAAACTAATATATGAGATAGATGCATTACATGCAAAGTCAGATAGTTCAAGCCGTGGTTTGTCATAAGTGCGATGATTATGGCTTACAGCTCATGAAAATCCCAAATCCACAATCTCAGTAAATAAGAATATTACATGCAATCAATAAAACATGCAATCAATAAAACAAGGAATGTACATAGAACAATATCGGACCTCTGAAAAGTATAAGCATGCATATTTCCTGCTGGAAAATGAAGTTAGCATCCCCATAAAGCTCGTCTGCCGAAGAAAGCATGAAGTGCTCCAAAATCTCCTGGTAGATGGCTGCGTTGACCCTGGACTTAATGAAGCACAGTGGACCAACACCAACACCCCAAATCAACACAGACTGTGGAAACTTCACACTGGACTTCAAGCATTTTGCAGTGTGTGCCTCTCCATTCTTCCTCCAGACTCTGGGTCCTTGGTTTCCAAATGAGATGCAAAAGTTGCTCTCATCAGAAAAGAGGACTTTGGACCACTGAGCAACAGACCAGGTCTGTTTTTCTTTAGCCCAGGTAAGACGCTTCTGACGTTGTTTGTTGTTCAGGAGCAGCTTGACAAGAGGAATACGACATCTGAAGCCCATGTCCAGGATCCGTCTGTGTGTGGTGGCTCTTCATGCACTGACTCCAGCCTCAGTCGACTCCTTGTGAAAGTCACCAACACGTTTGAATGACCTTTTCCTGACAATCCTCTCCAGGCTGCGGTCATCCCTGCTGCTTGTGCACCTTTTTCTTCCATACTTTTCCCTTCCACATAACTTTCTATTAATGTGATTTGATACAGCACTTTGGGAACATCGAACTTCCTTCGCAAATTACCTTTTGAGGCTTTCCCTTCTTATGGAGGGTGTCAGTTATGGTTTTCTGCACAACTGTCCGGTCAGCAGTCTTCCCCATGATTGTGATTCCTACTGAACCAGACTGAGAGACCATTTAAAGGCTCAGAAACCCTTTGCAGGTATTATGGCTTACTTAGCTGATAAGAGTGGGACACTGTGAGCCTAGAATATTGCACCTTTTCACAATATTCTAATTTACTGAGATTGGGGATTTGGGGTTTTCATGAGCTGTAAGCCATAATCATCGCACGTATGACAAACCACGGCTTGAACTATTTTGCTTTGCATGTAATGCGTCTATCTCATATATTAGTTTCCC